GGACCCCAGTCCAATTCAGAACCATCCTCAAGGACCCCCAGAACAAAATGGACTCATCTATGTATCATTTGTATCTTTGTGAGGACCAAATGCAGTCAAGTATAATTCAAATTAGTTGACTTGTCCAGTATTTGGCCATATCATCAGCTATATTGGATTTTTCTTTCATGGGAACTTGTCATGTCACAAAAATTCATACTTTATACAAATCCCCTGGCCTTACGTCAAGGACCACTAGGGGTCCACGGACCCCTGGTTGAGAAACACTGGTCTACTCTACCAGGATCAGGAAACAGACCTCCATAAAATGTGCTGAACACATCTGAATATTTTGTTTTAACTGTTCTTGAACGTCCTCTTTTGGAAGGCCAAACAAAGCCAAACAAATTACTTACGCAAACACAGCATCACATACGGCGGGCTTGAGTGAGCGGCGGCGGGCTTGAGTGAGGAACGGCCGGCGCGCTAGAGTGAGGACGACCGGCGGATTCGACGAAGGAGCGGCCGGCGGGCTTGCAGCAACCACATGTGACGACCCCGGGCTGGACTTCGCTTCGTCCACGGTGAAAGCCGATCCGGTGATCCACAGCACGAAGTTGATGTATTTCCTCAGTGACCAGCACGGATCAGCTCTAGGCACGACGAAGTGGATATCGTCCTCTTTTGAAAGGCCAAACAACGAACGCTTGGCCTTCCTTGGCAACAACGCTTTCACAACGAAACACACAGCGTCTTCACGAAATGACGGCAGCAACAATACTACAGCGAGAATAAAAGTTACGCCTTCTTTCTTTGCGTGAACATTTGGGCGGTGTTATGCAAATCTTCCCACATCGTGACGTAGACATGTGGGGGCATGTTAGAACGAGCCGTTTTAGGTAGGCGTGGTTGACTCTTAACTTTTATAAAGAATATCTCTTTGGATTTGAGTCTTTAGTCTTTGCAACTTTACAGATCTTGTAACACTTTAAAGAGAAAGGAAAAATTGAAATCGCATCATATGACCCCTTTAAATACAGGCCTCTATAGACATCCCTTTAAATACCTACTAACCAACCATAGCCAGAATGTGGCAATTTGCCATTGTTATTAATAGAATAATGGAGCATGGCCAGGCAATCATACCTGCAACCTAAAGGCCCTGATGTAATTCCAGTGAAGTCGAAGAGCAGACTGGTGCACCATCATTTTAAACAAAATCTGGCCAAAATGAAGTTTGTTTGGAGTTTGTTTTGGTAGTTCGAAGCAGCTCACCAAAGCAAAGAACCCAGAAAAGTTTGCGCCCCCTGGTAAATGAATAGGATGGGAAGTCGATACTAAAATTAAGGGTGCTTTCACACTAGCACTTTTGGTGCGCACCGGGTTCGATTGACGTCAGAGTTCGGTTCGTTTGGATGATTGTGAAACGCTGTCTTCCAAACTCGGGTGCGCACCCGCGAACCGTACCCGAGTCCGCTTAAAAAGGGTGGTCTGGGGTACGGTTCATGTGAACTCCGGTACGGTTCGCTGCTGATGTGCTCGCAATCGTACCAAATCGCGGAAGTAAACCGCTATTAATGACGTATTATTTGATAAAAATGTGTTTGTGTGTGTGTTTCACTCACTTTCCTGACGAGCGTGACTGACGTGCTGCAAACAGAGAGCTGTATATCTCAATTCTGTTCACCTTCAGCGTTCTTTAGAGCATCTGCAGTACATTCGTAAGACAGACGTAAGTGCCGTTATGTACCGAAGCTTTGTAAACAAAACGAACGGTTCAAAAATGTAAATATATAAAAGTGCAGAGAGCAATGTTATGCATTTGCCGCCTTCTCCAGCGCCGTCGTTACTAAGCAACAGGGTAAACAGCTGCTGGCTTGATGACGCAAACGAACCGTGGTTCTGACCCAAATAAAATAATATGAATGCAGTCCAGCGGGGGCAGGGGGAGGGGGGAGCAATCGAACTCGGGTTCAGACCAGGCAAGCCAACCAAGTGTGAAAGCACCCTAAAACGTCTTTCAATATTAGAAGACCTGAATTCAAATGTTGTTTTGGACTCCATTGACTTTCAAAAACAGTTGAAACAGTCTTCACAATATCTGGTTTGAAACAAAATAATGATGAGTGAAAAATTACAGATTTTTGTCACTTTTGGGTGAATTACAAATTACATACTGCCCCTATAAGTTGCAAATTGACTATTCATGAGAGTATTAATGCTACTAAGTCAGAAGTCAGTGCTATGACTATGACTACATAAACCGTGTGACCATTTGAGGACTTTAAAATGTATTTACTCTGTGTTCTGTCCTTTGACAGGCAAGCAGCTGGTGCAAGCACATTACAAGAAACAGCAAGGCCACACAACAACATTCCAACTGGTAAAGCAATAAACCCTGACCGGCTCCCATCCTACCTCTGGTTGACAGTGTGGTTCTCCCAGAATCTCATCAAAAGTGGCTCTGCTCGCCTGAGCTCGGGATCTGCAGGTGAGTCTTCAAAGACGCTGCAGGCATTCCTGCGAAACAAATCAGAGCACATCGATTAACAAAGCAATAACAGGAGCAAGCAGGGGAGAGTATAAGGAACACACTGGTGGGTTTCAGACAGATTACCACCCAGGTTTTCTGCAGAAAAACAGGCCTTGCTTAGACTCATTCAATTCAAGTAGCTGGACGGTAGGGCTGTGCAAAAAATCAAATGCGATTTTCATGCGCATCTCGTCAGTAAAGCCGCTTCTGGTGATTAGTAGTAAATCTCCAGCACGTGCTTTCAGATAAAGCGGCATTTACTACACAGAGCCGTAGATCACTGACAAGCTACTCAAAATCGCAAGCGATTCATTGCTGATTTTGAACGCGATTTTGTGTAGCTTGTCGGCAGAGGCGGACAGTAACTAAGTACATTTACTTGAGTATTGTACTTAAGTACACTTTTTGTGTATCTGTATTTTACTTGAGTATTATTTTTTCTGGGAACTTATGACTTTAACTTCACTACATTTGAAAGACAAATATTGTACTTTTCACTCCACTACATTTCTATAAAAGCAAGTACTTCTGTACTTTTACTTAAGTAAAAATCTGTCTTTACAACTTTTACTTGTAATGGAGTAATATTTGACCAGCAGTATCTGTACTTTCACTCAAGTAATGGAATTGAGTACTTTGTCCGCCTCTGCTTGTCGGTGAACTACGGCTCTGTGTAGTAAATGACGCATTCGATTTTTTGCCCAGCCCTACTGGACGGATTTAAAGTGTATTAAATAGGGACATTCTGTATATACCTCAGTTTTGAAATGACAGATCGCTATGTTTCCGGTACAGTCGGGGATAACACCATTTAAAATTCCTTTTTTATTAAGCAGTAGTTTACTGACTAAACAATGGCTCTGTCAATACTGCTGCAACACTACTTGCACTGCAGTTTATGGGGGAAAAGATTTAAAGCGCTTCCACTTTTGGATGCAAAACAGTTTAGAAAAATGTAAACTTTAGTCAGAATTACTGCACTCTTATTCTATTGTGCTCCGACTATTTAAATTTTAATAGAGACTCATTGGTGCCAGGACGAGCCTTTATGCCAAATGGAAATACTTGCTGACTTCCTAACATTTACTGATAAGCTTACAAGCCTAAGATGTAATTTATGCGCTGAAGAAAACTGGTCTTAAATGTATTAAACAACACAGGCAGAAGGGCAAGTCACTTTAAACTTCACAGTTTATGGGTTCATTTGAAGCACTTAATATAAAGCACGTCTCATGGACATGTCTTCAGGACAACTTGGATTGTGCACTTTTCCCTAAGCAGCTCACTCGGTTTCCTTCGTTCTTTTTCAGATACGTTAGCAACATCAAGTTATCTTTCATATTATAACATCATATTATTCTGCTCTGCAGACTAGGGCTGTGCAATAGCCTATGTATGATATATTTTTTCATTAATATTGTGATTTTGATTTTAATCACGATTTCAACAATATTTCCTTACACACACTTTTTACATTCAGCAATGCATTTCATTGTTTATGAATTTGAAATGTTTTTTTTTTTTTTTTTTTAAAAGGAAACCAATTATCAAAAAGCTGTAACATGTCACTAGAACAGAAATAAGATCAAATAAAGTAAAAGTCAAATCATGTCTCTAGAACAGACAAACCGTGGTGTCTGTTATTTCCTTATGCCTTTTTTGAGCTTCTTTAGTATGGTGTGCACTGCAGATGTTAACGTGGATTAATATCCTAAAACAAAAACCACTCACAACCAATATCACAGATAATATTGTATATGATTTTAAAAGATTATCATAAATCTACTTCTAAGATAACAGCACCGTAATCCAAATGAAAAGACAATATTTACATGCTTTTCCCCCCCATAGAAAACTGTTATAAAGTAAAAACTTGACATAACTTAAAAATTATATAAGATCAAATTCGGTACACACCTTATTAATAAAACATAGGCTACTAAAAGATGAACTCAGAAGAAGAACATAATGTGCAAAGTTTCACATTAAACGGTTTCCTCCGATTGATACCTGTTTTAAAGAAAATGCAAAAAAAAAAAAAACTCATTGCACACTAAGGGGGTGGTGTAGAAATCATGCTTTCTGTAGGTTCACATTGCAATTTTATTACGATTTGGATTCATCATCAGACGTTCCACATGTAGTTAAAACTAGAGGTGTGCGATATGTTGATATTAGATTGCGAATGGCTGTTAAATAGTCTTTTTCTTTTATGTTTCGTTACAATGTAGGCCTGCTGCACTGCTCGATAACTTAAAACGAACATAAAACAGAATCATGATCAGATCTTGGATCACGATCCTGCCTAAAGAAAAATATAATACAATATTTTTGCCATATCATTAAAACAAAACAGCATTTATTCAGTTTGCATGCATTCAGTCGTTCAGTCTTGCCAAACCAAGAGACCCGTACCAAAAATTTCTGACATTCATGTTGTTTCAAACCTGTATGACTTCCTATTTTCTGTGGAACATAAGGATATTTGTTTCTGTGTGTGTGTGTTTTGTTTTTTTTGTCCATACAATGGAAGATTATATACAAAATAGCTTTTTCTATGTTGCACAGAAGAAAAAAGTCATAACAGGTTTGGAACGGCATGAGGGTGAGTAAATGATGACAACTACCCCTTTAAATAACCATGCCACGCCATAAGAAGATTAACTAACTAACTAAATAACAGCATGGGTGAGTCACTGCTGTTCACTGCCTGGCTGAAGCTGCAGAGTGCATTAAGAGATCATTTAGAGTATCTAAATCCAGTTACTGCCCCCAAAAAGCAAGTCAGTGTGCTTCAAGATATATTATATGAATAATTCAAGCAGAATTTGCCCTGTTTTGATGCTCCACGGCTCCGGCAACCACAGGTCAATTTATCCGGTTCCTACCGGAGCAGTCAGGGAACTCTTTAAATTGAGCTTTCATGCATGAGCTACAGTACGCATTGTAGCCCCTGACGGGAGAAAACGAGAACAAGGAGCTCTCACAAATGGAGTAAACTTCACATCAATATTAGTGCTGAGACGTGTGCTTTTATCTCGAAAAAGATACATTATCTTAGCAAGGCCACGTTACAGCAGCGGGAGGGGGAAAGTGTTGAATCCGAGCAGTTGGATTGGAGCCACCAAGGGATTGGCAATGACACAGTGGCAGCTCTGGATTCCTGCCAACCAGTTCCTCCAAAAAAAAAAAAAAAAAAAAAAAAAAAAAAAAAAAAAAAAAAAAAAGAAAAAGTCATATCTTGCAGTCTGTCATCCTGGCAAAGAGGCAAGAGAACCAACATGCTTTTCCAACTACGTTCCAGAAGGGTTAACATAACGCCGATCTGTCCGACCAAGAGGCAAGATATACAGCAGACGGCCGCAAACGCTGACGCACGGGCGCTCAAGCGGAGGGTATCGTTCTCTGCTCTACTGACCGCTCTCTAATCAAGAGGCTCGCGTTGAGAGGTCTTGAGTGGCGGATTACAATCAGAGGTGCACAAAATCAGCACCGGGTGCCGTCATCGGTCCTGAGGGGTGACAGGCAAGAGCACAGACAGAAAGAATGGTTATTGCAGCTGTTTGGGTCCAAGACCCCTTATATATCCGGCTGGCAAGAGCCACTTTAAAAGAGCATCAAAACACAGTGTAGGTGAGCACAAGGAATAGAGCCAAAAATAACAACTTCACACCTCACTGGTGCCTGTCTGAACAGCTGAGGCCGTTCCTCACCGGCTCACACAACTGCAGCAAGCTCGCTTTCTGGACAAATACAAATCCGTGGGTTATTAAGGGGGCTCACGAGTTCCTGAGCCCTCACAGACTGAACAAGAAACTTTATGAAGGATCGCTGCAGGCAAAATCACTGAAAACAAACATGCAAAATCCTAATTCGTAATTAGAAAAGAGTTTGCATGAAGCTACACCATCTGAAGACAGCTTTCTGACATTTTTTGTTACCCCAGCAAAGCGGTGATGGCTGAGATTGAGAATATAATATACTGCAGAGATAAAAAGCCTCATTACAAATATGACTTTGTTTTTTGTAGTATGACCATAGGTAGTGTGGCATAATCACTTACGATTACTAGGGAGAGAAATAAAGTACTTTTGTAAAAAATGTAAGAAAAACTTTTGTTTGCCAAATCAGTTAATTGTGCAGATACATGTAGGTATATATTTGACCTCATGACTGTGTCAAGGTCAATAAGTCTCTTAATATATCAACTAATTTAACCTTTCTATGACAAGACAAAGTTGGTTCAGGTTGTAAAAATGTCACTCCCCAAAAGACATAATATTTACAATTTATTAACTTTTTTATTTTATTATTTTTTTTTTTTTTTTAGAAAATGATTAAGCTGTAGTATATGTATGCAGCTGTAGTGTACATTCACATATATTCAAGTTGTGAGTAAAATGAAAAACAACATTTTTTATACACTGTTATTACATGATACTGTTTACATCTTAATCATTTTTTTAAGTTTTACATTAATTCATAATCAATTTAAATTCATTCTATTAATTCATAAATATTATTACTTTATGGTTTAACCACACAACATTTCCAGAATCATTCAGAGACATTTTTGCTGAAAATGGTACAAAAAGGCCGACATGAATGCAGAGAATGCCTTTTTAATAAACTTTGCACATTCAGTTTTAAACTTGGAAAAATGTTCTTTATCTTGAACACTCTTGTTTGTCACTGACCCAGCAACATCAAACTCCTTGGAAATTGTGTGTCAAAATGCCCAACATCTCCCTATTTTCCAAATATGATTTGTTGTCATAAGATAGTTTAGACAGAACAGAGTATAAGACAGGGAGAGTAGGACAAAACCCTCCTAAAATGGCTGCACATTTAAAGTAAATTTATCAAATTCATGCCTTCGGCCCGTCATCTCTTTTCCTGTGCCTCTTGCCAAAACAGAAGTTGCTTTGCTCTTTATCACAGTTCATATCCCTGAAGCCAGGATATCACTACAGAACAACATACCACA